ATAACTCCATGTTAAAATATTTCCTTGACAAGCATGTATCAAGATGAATGTCCTTTCTCCTGTTCTCTCTTTTATCAAGGCAGTCACAGATCAGGGTGTATGGACAGCAGTGAGGGAGGAGGAAGTGAAGAGGCTCAGAGAGGAAATTCAAAAGGGCCTGCGGGGCTGGAGTACACCTTGTGGAGTAGGATGTGCTCAAGTGCTCATGTACTCCAGGCCCAGGGCTCCATCCTCAGCATCAGAAAGAGAAAGACGGCCTCAGAGAAGGGAGAAGGAAAAACATCCCTTCCGCGAACAGCCTTGGCACCGAATGCTGGTTTGCTAGTTGAGGGGTGGTTGCGACCTGGGACCTGTGGTTTTCTAGCCCCAGATCCAGCAGTGAGATGCTTGGTCTGTGAAGTACGATCCAACATAACAGTGAATGTTTATTGTCATAAGAAACACATGGCCGTTGACCCTTCTCAGAATCCTCCCCCTCGCTCCGGTACCTTCTCCCTCCATTCTCACTGCTTTCTGAAGCAGCTCTGGAAGTGCCCTTTCTGCAGTGTCTACAGTTGCTCTCTCCTGGCTGCCTCCATGCCCTGAATTAACTTCCATGGTCATTCTGACTTTGGGGGAGAGCCAGAAGTCGCACCATGCCAGACACAGAGAAAGAGCGGGGTGTGGACACACTGTGGTACTTGTATTTGACAGAAACTGCCATAAATGTTTTGAATGGATTCAGGACATCCAGGGAGCCATGAGAAGACGCCCATGAAAGAGGACTTCCAGAAGTGCCTTGGGAAGCAGCGAGAATGACGGGAGGCGAGCAGGAGTGTTCTGAGAGGCTCAGTGAGGCTAAGTCGTTTACTGTGATTACCTTTTCATTATTATTTAGACATCCGCCTTTTAAGTCACACCTTGTCTAAGCGCCTTACACAACTGCAGCCTGGAACTCAGCTGACCCTGATCAAGCTGGTCAGGAGTGAAGTCATGAGCCCACTGGCATTAGGAATGGGAGGAAGCCAAGCTCTGCTTGGTGTCAAACTTGCGGCTTCAGAAGGCACCCCCAGCTGGCAGCCTGCACACGCAGGTCCCCTGTAGACACTGCACAGAGCACACTGTCAAGAGCACATGGCAGAGAGGGTGATCAGGCGTGCACGTTCAGGCCTGGAGTCCTCATCTCGAATCTGCTATATGAGATCTGTTTTCCGGCCTTGAGAATACCTGCGTTCAATCCAGCAAGGCCAGGAGCCAAGAGGCACTGGCGGGAATTCAGCAAGCCCAGACCTCTGTCCCGGTGCTGAGGGGTAACTGGCCAGTGCAGCTGTGTCCCCAGGCACCCAGGCAGAGGAAACGTGACACTGGGCGTGCTGGCTGTTGTCTGCAGGTATGCACACTCAATCTGCACTCCTGACAGATTGCTCAGGAAGGGCTCCCAGATCCCAGCCGTGACCACAGGGGAGCCCACAGGCCCATCACCAGGCCTCTGCACAGGCTGGGGGAAGATCACAAGGCGTCCCCAGATACAGGAGAGGGGAGACCAGCGGCTGGCCAGGCTGCTCAGGAAGCGGGCCTGGCTTTGCAGCTAGAAAAGCTGCTGTCATCTCCACTTCAGGGCCAAGCCTCCCACCTCACAAAAGCACCCAGAGGGCACGGAGCAGGGGATGGGGCCAGAGGGGCTGCAGTGTCCACATGGGGTGCACTGCTGTACACAGGCGGGAGGGCCCCCATCTGCAACCGCATGTGCTATGCATGGCCAGGATGTTACCTGGGCAATGTGTATGTGCACACCACACTGCACATATTACACACTCGCATGCACCGCATATACACGTGTGCACATGAGTGCACACGTGTGAGCACACACATATCCCAAGCACGCACACAATGCACATACACACAGAGACGTTTGCACACACATGAACATATCTGCACCACACGGCACAAATAATGCGCACATGCTGACACATACACATTTGTGCATACACAACATGCATACACCCACTCATCACTGGCACACTGTATACATCACACCACGGCCCAGACACCACACACACGCATACACCATTCACATACATGCCACTCATGCCATGTGTACATGCCACAAACATGCATGTACACACAGGTATGTCACACTTCACACACACACCACTGACTCGTTCCATACCCCAGATGTGTGCAATGCCACGTGCATGCACACGTACACATAACACACACACCTCAGACACGGATGTCACACATACACATACCGCACACATTCCCTGCACGCCACACCCCTGCCTCACCCGAGCCCCAGGCCACACACCCACATACTACACCACACTCCACACATGCTCCCACAGGAGGCTGGCTTAGCATGCAAGCTGCTTGGTGACAGGTGCCTCACATGTCCCTGCAGGCTTTGTCACAGGAGCATCTCCGTCCCTGAGCTGCTGCCAGCTGCAGTCACGGGACACCTGGCCATGGGCAGGAAGGGAGCCATCTCCCAGACTCTCAGTGGGAGAGGCTGTCACCTCAGCATGGCTGTCACCTGGTCTCGCGGGCCAGCACATGTCTTGAGCAGAAGACTGAGCCTCTGTAATGGCGACAGGAATGGCTGATCTCCATTTCCCAGCGTCATCCTCCATGTCCGTTTTCCCCTCCTGCGGGCAGGGCACTTCTTCGGTGCATGGCAGAGCTGACCCCGACCCTCATGCTGTACTGGGTGTGGGCACTTCCACGCCACCTTACAGGCAGGGAACAGAGGCAGGGTGTGGTCAGGATCCCTGCCCAGGGACAGGGATTAAAGTCAAAGCAGGGATTGACCCCTTCTGTCTAGTGCTACAGCCCATGTTGTCCACCCTGGACTCAACTCCCATTGTGCGGGGAGATTTCCCTGGCCCTTGAGAAAAAGAACCCTGACAAAATGACAAAATGTACCCAGAGGTCCAGGGTGAGATCCAGCAAGTCAGTGTGCTGTGAAATGTGTTGCTGATGACACTAGACACACAATTTTAAACTATCACTGTGATGCAGAACAAAGTGTTCTTAAGTGCTGCCATGGCCAGACGTGGTGGCGCACGCCTGTGATCCCAGCACTCGGGAGGCTGAGGAAGGAGGATTGCTTTGAGTTCCAAGCCATCTTGGGCTACATCGAGAATTCAACACCAGCCTGGATTACACCGCAAGACCCTGCCTCAAAGAACATACATAAATAAATAAATAATAAATAAATAAATAAATAGATGCCATAACCACCGAGCTCAAAGACGTTATAAAAATACAATTTGCCTTTGTGGATATCTAAGTGCAGCAGTCCAAAGCTGGAACAGAACTAGCTCCAGAGGGCCATGCTGCTGTTCTGATCACTACCTGCAAATAGCTTGCTGTCCCCACGCAGAGGCCCCTGACCTGAGAAATATCTGTTGTCTGCAGGATCGGCTCCGTGGTTTTTAATTAACTTAGGAACAGTAGAGGAGCCAGGCACTAGCGTTCTGGGAGCCTGAGGCAGAAGGATCTCAAGTTTCAGCCCAGCCTGGGAAACTTAGCAACTTAGCGAGACCTTGTCTCAAAATAAAAATAGAAAGGGACTGGGATGTGGCTCGTTGTGGAAGTGTGGGTTCAATGCCCAGTACTGCAAAGACAGAAACACCTTTGGTGGTGAAAAGCTGCCCGTGGAGGTGCTTTACATTTTTACGGGGTTGCCCAGCAGTGGGGGACCTCTGCCGCCCCACGGGCATGACAGGTTCCCAGTGCGCGCGTCCCTGCCCGTGGCGGCTCAGGAGACACCAAGCCCCATGGGTCTTCGGTTCATGGTAAACCACAGCCAACAGCGGAGGGCAAGGGGGCAACGTGAAACTCCTTCTTACAAACAAATTGGACCAGGGGCCGGGATTTAGCTCAGTGGTTCTGCCACCTGCTTTACAAGCCCAAGGACCCAAGTTTGATCCCTGGTACAAAACAAAACCCCAACCAAATTGGACCAGTGAGGTGCAAACCCCTTAGGCGGGGTGCAGCTGGATCCCCGGCTTCCTGACACCTGCCTCCGGGAGACCGCCTTTCTGATGCAGCTGTTCTGGGGAGGCCTGAGAAGACCCTCCTGTGGCCTGAATGTCCCCACCAACTCTAGCTGGCCTTTAACCCCACTGTGCGGTCTGAAGAGGTGAGTAGGTGGGACTGCTGGGAGGGGACCAGATCGCCAGTGCTCTGAGATGGATTTGGCCCTTGTGGACTAATGGACTCTTGAGGAGTGGCTCCTACATAAGTGAGCTTTCTCTGCCAGGCTCGTCTGTCTCACCATAGCTGTCCTCTGCTGTGTCTCAGTGAAGCAAGAAGGTCCTCAGTCTTGAACTTGCTGACCTTGAGAGCTGTCGGCCTCGCAATCTTTATTCCTTAAAGATTATTCACTGTGTGGTATCTCTGGTTTTTAGCCATTGAAAACAATCTAAGATGGACCAGTGATGATTTGAAGGTCTGGTCCAGTGTGGAGATAAAACCCCAACCATTTACTCCTACAACAGTTACAACAGCACTGGAACCTAGAACAAAAGGGAAAGGAAATCGAGCCAGTATTCAAGCAGGATACTGTCATCTCAGCCTGCTTGAAATGCCTGCTTCTCTGTTCTGCCCTCTGCCTTCCCCCAAGAGGCCAAGGCCATCTTCAGTGCCTGGAAGGACCATCAGCCATATTCAGACAGCACAAAACCCAAACCTAGGGCAGGAGAGGGAAAGACACAATTCCCTCTTCCTCGGGTCCAAGATTCGCTCACTCCATTTCCGGTGATCATTAATTCATTCCTTTACCTGAGTATTTTCTGAGCCATGGGCCAGACATTTGGAGGAGGCCAGTGGTGAGTGATGGAGGTGCACTGCCTCTGCCACACTGGGCCACGCTTTGGTGATGTCTGGGCTCCTCTGTGAGTCCAGCAGGATGGACGTGCACACATGTGTGCTGACTTCATACACGCTAGGCAAGTGTTCCGCCACTGAGCTGCACCCCGGCCCCAGTAATTTTGATGTTTCTACAAAAGTTTCTCTTCTACTCACTTCAGTTTTTGCCGAAAGGCTCAAATACTGTTTAATCTTCAGAAACAACCCAGGGGCCACTTCTGTTGAGGCTGAGGTGGGGTGACAGGCACCTCTGGATAGCTGGAGTTCCCTTAGTTCTAAGTGTCACAGCACAGTGGACCAAAGACACTTTCTGAGTTCTTTAAAAGCATGTTTTGAGATCTTTCGTTGCGATGCACTGGGCTCTGGGGTCCTAGCGGCACCATGACCATACTCTCTGGGTGTCTTGAGGCACCCAAGGAATCCCTTTGGCCCTGGGAAGCTCGTATTGGATGTGCAGTGCCTTAGGGTGTTGAAGGGTCGCCGCTACTGCCCAGCAAGTCAAGGATGCCTGATCAAGGCCAAGACCAAGGACCGGTTGCCAGTTCAAGAAGCAGATATTTAGCGCATGGCCAGACCCAACCTGACAGGGCCATCAGGAGGCTGCAGAGGGACATGCAATACAAGAGGTCTGGCTTCTTCCATCCAAACTGTCCTCACCCCTGCTCCTCCCCAGAGAAGCCCCTCAAAGTCCTATCTGTACTTGGTCGCCTCCCAACCTCACTTCCCCACCACATGGACGCCACAGGTCACAGTTCGCCCCTGCTCCCATCAAACTGAAAGAACAGAGTGCTGGACACCATTGCATTCCATTTCTAAAAAGTTTCCCCTAACAGTTCCTGTAGGTTTAAGATAGATCCAAGCCTTTATTTTTCTGTGCATCTAGAGTGTACTGTGTTTCATTCTCTGACTGCCAAGGGGGTAACTCCCAATTGAGTTACTAATTACTATTTTTATTGCATTTAAGATGCTTTATAAATGTTTTGGTGATTTGTTTTGCCTGGTAATTAGATGTTGTGAATACATTTTAAAAGTTTTAATGCAATCTTGTGATTTTCTTTAACAATTGCATTGAAGGATAAAAGATCAAAAAGCCGGGCACAATGGTGTGCCTATTGTCCCAGCTACTCAGAGTAGATTCTGAGAGAATCACTTGAGTCCAGGAGTGAGGAGCCAGCAATATAGTGAGACATTATCTCAACAAACAAACAAAGAACAGAGACTGGGGAGGTAGTTCAGGGGTAGAGCAGTTGCCTAGCATGGAGCGGCCCTGAGTTCAATGAGCAGCTCTATAAAAAGCTGACAAGATAAAAATGTGGAATGCAGTGGTTCTCAAGCTGTGTTCTAGGAACTTCTGGGAGTTGCTAAGACTCTTTCAGGGAGACTGTGGGTCACAAATTATTTTCCTAATAGTACTAGGACAGTGTCATGCACTCTCCCACTACATTAAAACTCACATAGCCGCAATGGAGGGTAAGACTGTGGTGTCTCAGCATAAATCACTGCAGCAGTACCAAACTTCACCAGGAGTCCTCAAGCTTTTCATCACTACAAATTTAAAGAGGGTAAACCTCACTTGAAGATGCCTTAGACAAAGCAGATCGTATCATGAGTTTTATTACATCTTGAACATCGAGTATCAGAGAAGATCCATTAAAAAAGCAGGAAAGACCAGTAGACTGTAAAGTAACAGGGTGAGTAGTTCATTTAAATGGTTTGGGACTCCACATTGAACTAACCCTTAAGAAACAACTATTTGTTGAAATTGTAATGAAGAAGATATCTGTAATTTTATCAGTGATCACTAGAGAAATATTTAATATATGTGTGTGTGTAAAATGTGGAAAACAGTGCAAAATTTTGTAGAAAAGCACCACTCAAGGCTATAGCAGTGCAAACAATGAATCTGTTTAACAACAATGCAATGTCACATTTCCACAAAATTTATCAAAAAGAGGCAAAAGCAAGTGTCATGAAATAGGATCCTTTTCAAACTTGTATGAAAAGAAAAGGGTTTCACTGAGCCAAGAGATAGCACTGACTCCTTTAGTGGCAGTGAAAGTGGTCCTATACAATAACACTCTTCTCATCTCCTTCACACCAGCCCTGAAGGGTTTCAAAGGTAAGTGAAAGTTAATATGTTTATTTTCTTTATATTTTGTATTTTCTTTATTATTTTGTATTATATCATGGCATCATAATCATTTTTATATGAATATTTTGGGGTTGTGAAATGAACCACCTTAGCTTCCATTATTTCTTAGGGGAAAACTTACTTTGATATACAAATGCTTTGGATTACAAGCATGTTTCTGGAATAAATTATGCTCACAAACCAAGGTGTTACTGTATAGGAATTTACAAGGCAGGCTTACCATGGCTACCTACGGAGTCAGGCATGGACAAGTGCCAAGGGGCTGTCAGTGAGATAGAGATCTAAGGGATCCAGTCAAAGGTGAAAGACCTGGAGCTCACCGTGGAGTCCCATGAGTCTGGACCAGGGAACCAAAGGGTCTGTGCAGGAGACTGGAGCGCCTTGGAAGAAACTGAAGTGAGCCTTCCTACTTCTTTCCTTTTATATCCCATCCAGGTATACGCCTATCGCATGGTGCCACTCACACGCAGGGTGAGTGTTCCCCCTTCAGTGAGTCTGTTCAGTCGCTCCCAGGAAGAACCATGCCCAGCCAGTCAGTTGGGCATTTCTTACTCAAGTTGACACAACAGTTAACCTTCCTAACAATTATTTGTGAAAGCTACTGAAATGTCATTTCCCTTTCCATCCAATTTACCAGACATGGAAATGTCATTGTTTTCTATTAAGCCAGCCACTAAAGAGATTTGCAAACTGTGGGAGACACCCCTGTTGCTTATGCCTAAAGCAGGCTGTAAAGTGTTAACTCCACAATGGTCTTGTTTGTAGAAGTGAGTCTGCCAAAGCTTACATGACTCATAGGAGCATTGCGGATGGCATGTGGGTCACTACCAACCCCTCTGCCAGTGGCCACAGCAAAGGCCAGAGAAACAGCCTGTGAAGATGTGGGGCTTAAAATGAGATAACGTAGCAGCTGAGGTCAGGGAGACTCGCACCCAAATTCCATTTCCAGGATTAAAACCTTCTTAACTGAAAAGACAGGCTAATCATTAACGACACCTATATCTGGTCTGTTCTGTTCCAAACACAGAATGCTTTATCTCTTCTTTTACAAGCCTTGCCTGTGTCAGCAGCTTATCCCTAGAAACCACATGCAGCACCCCCACCCCAACTCAACAAATGATTGTGTCACCAATAAATATCAGTGGTTCCAGCTCATCAGGGTCTTTGTTTGTTCAAGCATTGGCCGTCCCAGTTCCCCATTTCTCACCTTAATTCTGTCTCTGAGTCTTCTTCTCACCTTGCATCATAGTGCCAAGCAGGAGGAGATTGAGATCCACTGCAGGGGTCTCTAATAGCAAACATACACACCGATGTTACTCTTCTAATTTTTTTTTTCAGAATGTAACTTTCTTATTTAGAAATGCTAAAATGTTTAAAAGGTAACATCCACTGTTATCATAGTTGTTTTTTTAAAACTTCTCACTTTTAATTTTTAATATGGTGACTACCCAGATATATAATCTGTATAAGAGGGCAGGGGTGTGGGGAAAAAAAATGAGAACCAAGATCTGTCATGTAAAGGTACAAGATCTGAATGATAAATGTAACTGTACTGCATACTTAAAAAGTACCAATAAACTCGATGAGAAAAAAAAAATAACCTGTATAAACCAAGGTTCTTGCACTCTGGGTGGCCGAGGCAGGAGAACTGCAAGTCTAAACCTAGCCTGAAAAATTTAGCAACTTAAAGAAACCCTGTCTCAAAATAAAGCATATCAAAATGGCTCAGGACGTAGCTTGATGCAAAGTCCTTGCGTTCAGTCACTGCCACTGGAAAAGAAAATCTCTCTTTGGGTACTCAACAATTTTAGTATAGAGGAATCATAGGCTTTTCAGGGTGAAATGTCTCATTGGACTCATGAGAAGCAGAAATCTTGGAACTGTTCATAATGAGAAGACTCCATCTTAACTACTGAAAGCCAGAATGATACCCACATCCTCACAGTGACTGCCAGAAGCCCACCAGGCCAGTCTGGAATGGGAATTTGAGACCAAACAATGAAATGTCACCAGCTTGTTGACATTATCATGGTTGCTCTGAATTGTTGGGACAGTCCTATACTATTCTTGGAGCCACATTTCCTAATTTTTACTTAATGCCAAGAACAGCTGGTTCTGGACTATTTTCCGATGTGTTTAGTCTTCTGCAGGAAGTTTTACCAGCCTCTGCTATGTATGGAAATATCACGTGAGGTGGGCAGCATGTTCTAGGGAGTCAAAATAGATACTTAACTTCCTTTCTTCCAAGATTTATACCTCCAGCGGACTTTAACTAGTGCCCATAAAATTTGGGCCCAGAAAAGGCTTTCATAGTCTTTCAAATCAGACACTAAGATAACCAAGGTTGTCAGGAAACAGGAGCTATCACGAGACTCCTTACTTTTGCTTCAGGTGCTACATTAGCTGTATATCAGTCAGCCTTCTGTTACTTTGACAAATGCCTGATGTAATCAACCTACAAGGAAGAAAGTATTTTTGGCTCATGGTTTCAGTCAGTGGTCGCATGGCCACATTGCAGCACAGCACCTCACAGCGGAAGTGTATGACGGGGAGCACTGCTCACCTTACGGCAGCCAGAAACCAGAAAGTGAGAAAGAGAGTCAAGAGTCCAGGGTTTCAATAACCCCTCGAAGAACACACCCCTCAGTGACCTTCCTCCCTCCCATTAGCCATTCCTCCCAGTAGTGCCACAGGCTGAAGACCAGTCCTTGATTGTGTGGGCTTTAAGGGTAAATTATAGGAGCAAAGCACAGCAGTGTCAGGAATCAACAATTTTTAATGTGTGGTCCTGGACCACAGCCTCAACTTCACCTAGGAATTGGTAGAAATGCAAATTCTAGGGTCCCAGCCCAGCCCTACTGAACCAGAAGCTCTTCTGAGGAGGAAGCATCAGTCTGTACTTCAATAAACCCAAGGTATCACTGATGAGGCTCAAGTTGGAAGCTCACTACTGTAGACCAGAGGTGCTAGCTCAGACCTTCCCATCTGCCATTTTGGAATACATTGTCCCTCTCCAAATCAGGCTTTTTGGCCTCGACCATCTCTCCCACTTGAAACTGGCACAGAACCTCATCTCCACCTGGCAGAAACCACCTTCCCAAAATGAAATGTGAGCAAACAAGAAGTAAGCTATCAAGCTTCATTAAAGAGACAGAATCCTCCAATGCAGAGCTATTGCCCAGGGCCTGACTTACGTAGCCTCATGTGTTATCTCTGATATTTCCCATCAAATTCCACTTCTTTCGTGGATCCATCTCTTTTTGGAAACATTTACCTTTAATCTCTTTTTTGTTCGTGTTTAACTACAGGAAACATTCCTAACTGGGCGAGTGAGGGGCTTTCTCCTGTGCCCTCCTTTCCCCTGCCCAATTTTAGAGCAAGAGTTAGTGGACAGATCCTTTCACACTCACTCCCTAGAGCTTCCAAGCAAAGAGGCATCACTGGCGGGGCTCCCATGCCTGGCACTACACTGTCAGCACTTGCCCAGCGCTCCTGGGAATAATTCATCTTTCTAACCAGAACTGCTAAGCCTGGCCAGCTGCATAAAAATATGTCCAGCCAGCCCAATTTATTTCCTTTACTGGAAGAAATAATTCATATTTGGGATTCTTCTGATGAGGACTCAGATCTCACTCCTCCTGGAAGCTCGGCACCTACCCTAAAAGCCAAGTAGAAGCAGCAGTGTTCGTCCCCGACCCCACCCCACCACACTGCAGGGGACACAGAGGCAGCCCTGTTGGGGACATCAGAGCTACCTTCGGATGTGGGCTGCTGCCCATCTGTCCACAGTACCAAGAAAGGCAAAAGGGAGACTCAAATTTGGAGATGACAGAAACAAGACTTTCTTGTAGTATTGCCAATAATTGCCACTTTTGTTTTGTCTGTTTCCATTAAATATGTAATATAATGGCCAGGATGATCTTAGCAGCAGAAGCACCATTTGTTGTTGTTGTTGTTGTTGTTGTTGTTGTTCCAAGGATGGAACTCAGGACCTTGCCCTTGCCAGGCAGGGGCGGCACTGCTGAGCTACATCCCAGAAGCACCATTTCTGAATGTCAAAATATGCACACAATCACCACTTTCAGGTTTCATGTCTGCCTATCACCAAAATACCTACAAGAAAGAATATATTGATAGATATCATTTTTCTGGTGTGTTCTTGATCTGGGTAAACTAGGATATGTGCAGAACTTTGGAAGGAAATTCAATTAAAAAAACAATAAAGCAATCTGGCTTTTCTAATGTGACACCTCAAGGAGCAAAGTGTTGATCAGTTGGACATAAGGACTTGAGTGCTTTTGGCGTGCATTCACCTGTTGAACTTGTACAGCACACACCAAGTCACCAGTCACCAAATCCTAAGGAGGAAGAGGTCATCAAAGGTCTCCTCTGTTATGCCTCTACTTGTTGGCAATATCACCCTATATCAGAAGGAACATTGTGTTCTTAAATATTTCTAGAGAAAGATTGCATTCCTCATCTCCTCCCTCTGACTTTGGAGAAAATTCAGCAGGTTCACTGCCTTTTGTGGTACAACTTTTATGGGCTGATTGCTTGTGTCCCCATTCCTATGTTGAAGCCCTGCCATCACCACCACTTACTCAGATAAAAGACTCACAGAGATGTACCTGAGTCTAAGTAAAGTCTTCAAAGAGGGACCCAAACCCAAAAGGGCTTGCATGAAGAGACATCAGAGTGCCCTAACTGACCCCCTCCTCCTCTCTCCTCCACACACACACACACAGAAGTCATGTGAGCACAGAGCAGCCGTTCACAAGCCAAAGAGAGAGCCCTCACCAGAAAATGGATCCTGCCAAAACCTGATCTTAAGACTTTCCAGTTGCCAGACTATGAAAAATATATTTCTGTTCTTTAAGTCACCCAGTGTGTGGGATGTGTTACAACAGCCCTATAACACCAAGACAATTGCTTATCCCACAGGGTAAGGTTGGGTCATCCAGCGCTCTTGGTAACATGAAGCAAAACCCAGCTCCAGCTCTTTGAAGCAATAAGAGCCATAAGAGGATATTACTTAGAGTTCTCAAAACTGGTGCAAAGTGGTAAAATATAGATTTAAGACAGCACAGCAAGAACCTAAAAGATCTAGAGGGAAGGGTCCTAAAATAAGGCAGTAGTACAGCATGATCAGACATCACTGTGACAAGGACGGGCACAACTGTGACAAATCTGATTTTGGACACTCCTCTCCTGTGTCATGTGCACAGAGTTCAAAGTCTCAAGAGCAAGCATCTAATCAATCAAGCTTAGCTTGCCTGCCTACCAACCTCCCCGCAGCTAGAGGCAGATGGAGACAGTATTAGGCTCCCTCCCTTGGTTTCCACAGTGGAGGAAAGGCAGGAATGACCTCCACAGGAGGATGTAATTTCCAACGGGAAACTGGATGACTGTTAAGAAAAAAAACAGATCTACTGTGGCCCATGAAAGTAAGACAAAAGCTTTTCTCCCAAGGGGTACAGGTATTGAATACTGTGATTACAGCCAAACATGGCACATACACCATGGTATGAGCACAGGAGCCTTTGCAAGGACCCAGGGATTATTCATAGGGCATAGCTGTGGTCTCCTCAGGCTTGCTTTCCATGAACTTTGATTGCCATATTTCCTTGTTCCCCATTTCTCAAGCAGCGAACGAATGGACATCCCTCCTAACATAAAACCCTGAGTTGTGAACACTGGTGAGTGTTGTACCTGGGCTGATTTCCCACTGTCCCATCTCTGGGCTTGGCTTTCTGACAAGTCACCTATCAGCCTGGACCCTGGTGTGGGTGAGCGGAGCGTCCTGAGCTGTAGGAGTAAGGAATGATGTGTGGCCGCGGCTGACCAGCCCACCACAGAAGAAGCTGGCTGACACACCCCTGCTGAACCCTCCCCACCTGACTCCACGTCACACGAGGAGGATCCCTGGACCGCAGCAGAGGACACAGTGTCCCCCATCTCTCCATGACCGAGTGATAGGCGTGAGCTGAGACCCACTTCCTACGAGATGTACCATTTCTTGGAAAGAAAGAAAGCTGTCAGGCTATGGGACAGTTTTCTTATCATGCAGAATTTTTATCTTATGTATACTGAATGAGCCATTTTAGTCTTTTGAGGCATAAGGTTTATAATATATCACTTTTGTGTGCATATAAAATGGAAAAGATAAGAGAAATAAACCATGGGCTTCCTCACATGCGTACTCAGGGTAACTGACAGCTGTATTTTGCTGCCTATACAGTCTTCTGTGCCCCGGGGGTTTTCATGAAACCGGCTTTCTCAAACCCAACAAAGAGCTGAA